CCCCCCCCCCCCCCCGAAAAAATTGAAGGCCCCCCCCCCCCCGGGTACATTTCTGAAATAATCACTGGTTATGATGCTTATATATTGAGATTGTCAGGGACTAAGTAGACATATGCGTTTGAGAACCTCTTTTCGATGACAGTTTTGCATGGCGAGATCAACACAGCCAGTATTATTTTAACCCCACTTCTCCCCCAACTTTTCCCTCTATTTTTTCCCCCGGTGAGAGGTACCCCGTGTGACATGGCTGAACACGCTCAAATGTTGCAATTAAACGCTTCTGACATTTTGGGGTCGGCCAGGGATGTTTGTGTCTGGGTAAGTCTGAACCTAATTAACTACCTGGTCCTGTGTCCTGGTCCCTGCGTGGAATAAAATGAGAGGTCACTGGAGTCACGGCACATACCACCACTACAAGCTCATGGCATACCCCACTATAAGCTCATCGCGTACCCCACTATAAGCTCATGGCGTACCCCACTATAAGCTCATGGCGTACCCCACTATAAGCTTATCGCGTACCCCACTATAAGCTCATGGCGTACCCCACTATAAGCTCATGGCATACCCCACTATAAGCTCATGGCGTACCCCACTATAAGCTTATCGCGTACCCCACTATAAGCTCATCGCGTACCCCACTTTAATAAGCTCACGGCGTACTCCACTATAAGCTAACGGCGTAATCCACTATAAGCTCACATCGTTATCCACTATAAGTTCACATCGTACTCCACTATAAGCTCATGTCGTATACACTATAAGCTAGCCCACGGCGTATCCCACTATAAGCTCATGTCGTATACACTATAAGCTAGCCCACGGCGTATCCCACTATAAGTTCACATCGTACTACACTATAAGCTCATGTCGTATACACTATAAGCTAGCCCACGGCGTATCCCACTATACGCTCACGGCATATCCCACTATAAGCTCACGACGTACTCCACTATAAGCTCACTGCGTATCCCACTATACCCTCACGGCATATCCCACTATAAGTTCACGACGTACTCCACTATAAGCTCACGGCGTATCCCACTATACGCTCACGGCATATCCCACTATAAGCTCACGGCGTACTCCACTATAAGCTCACGGCGTACTCCATTATAAGCTCACGGCGTATCCCACTATACGCTCACGGCGTATCCCACTATAAGCTCACGGCATACTCCACTATAAGCTCACGGCGTATCCCAATATAAGCTCACGGCGTACCCCACTATAAGATCACGGCGTACTCCACAATAAGCTCACGGCATACCCCACTATAAGCTCACGGCGTATCCCACTATAAGCTCACGGCGTGCTCCACAATAAGCTCACGGCGTATTCCACTATAAGCTCACGGCGTATCCCACTATAAGCTCACGGCGTACTCCACTATAAGCTGACGGCGTACCCCACTATAAGCTCACGGCGTAGCCCACTGTTTCACTATAGGCTCTTACACTTCCAAATAGCCTAAATGAAGATCACATGCTCCCCAAATTATCTTAAATGAAGGGCACGTACTCCCAATTAGAACATAACAAATCATATGTTATCCAGTTACAACACGATATATACAAAGACATGAGTAGAGTCTTGAAGCACTTCACATATCAGCGGATACCATTCAACAGCGGAGAAGACATCACAATAGACTTGAATAGAGCGTAAAGAGATGTGATACGTGCAGTGTAATCATTGGCTCCATTCCTTTCATCCGAGGCGTACGGTTACCGTTACATAACGTCCATTACTTCCTGCAGAGTTCGGATAATAAGTTATTTCATTTCACAGTTTTCCCGCCCAAGAGAACAGCTTTACGAATCAGTTTTCACGTCAGCCTGGCGTGACGCCCCGTTTCCCCACCTGTAGCCACCATTCAGCCCCGTCTTCGACCATATGCCACGACCATCTCGTCTTCAATGGGGGTGGAGTGGCGTCTTGTCGTCCGAGCCTTGCGAATATGGAGACGTTGCGTTGTTTGACCCTTGACACCTGGCCGCAGGGTGTCACTCAAACTGTCCATCGTTTTACCCGTAATTCGTGTCGTGGCGAAGAGGGTGCTCAGGTCATCTGGGCGTAACAAACCCTGGCCGTCCAAACGTTCTGCGCGAGACATAGCCGAGCCGGGAAATTAGCACCGTTGATCGCCGTTGCACGTGTTGGCACTGTTGGTCAGTCATGGAATATTAAAACAAAACCATGTTTGTTACGAGCTGATTATTTACAACATACATGTTTACATCAATCTACAGGGTGCCCCCCACCAACCCCCCTCCCCCCAAAAAACAAAAGTGAGAACATTTAATAGCAAAAGTTTATTTAATATAATAGAATTACTATAATGTTTTGTCATTTATGGCCATGCTAATGACGTCATATAGGGACATAAGTAAATAAGTAAATGTATAGAGTTAACAAATGTTGGTGTAATTATATTACATAGTAAGAGATGTCATCATTTTTTCTGGGCCACCCTGTATTTCTTTTTTTTTTTTTTTTGAACACAATATTAAAAGCAAGAGTGAAGGAGAGAGGGGCCTTCAGCTAATACGACGTTTGGGTTCAGTT